CCTCTTACTTTCCATAATGACGTGGCAATTATGAGACTGCTCGTTTCAATCTGTCAGAGACATGGACAAATTTGAAAGCTGATTAAACTTGCGAAAGAACACGATAGATTAGATCGCAGCTCTAGCCTATACTATACCCTGTAGCTCGCATCTGGTATTGCACGTACTGCGTCTCAAGCAGTGTAAATCGAAGCGATAATACACGATCTCATAGCATTGTAATTGAACAATATTTAGTCCCACGATTTAGCATTGTAAGTCCAGCATAAATAAGGAAATATAATACTGTTCAGCAAGTAGGACCTGATTACGCTATAACACCTCGGCGGCTGCGATGTTGCAAAATCGTGACTTTGTCAGGAGCTCTCATACGAAACTAGATTGGATGACAAAGGTTGATGGCATTTTCCACCATAAAGCCCTGAATAACATTGTAGTTCCAAACATAAATGATGGAATATGACATTGCTTAACAGGTAGGCCCTAATCGCGCTATTATACCTTTCTGGCCGTGATGGTGCAATCCTGTGACTCTGTCGGGAGCTCTCATACGAATCTAGATGGGATATCAAGTCTAATGGCGTTTTCCACCACAAAGTCCTGAATAACATTATAATTCCAAACATAAATAACGGAATATGATATTGCTCAACAAGTTGTATCTAATTACGCTGTTATAGCTTTCCAGCTGTGATGGTGCAAAGTCGTGATCTTGTCACGAACTCCTCATGGTAATCTAGATTTTCAGACATTCATGGCTATGTACCAGTAACTCAAATATCTCGCAGTATACATAACGATATTTAGCAGAAGCAGAATTATGTCATCCTATAGTCGCCACGGCTACCATGTCACGGACTCATGAGTTCTCTGATGGCAGTGCTCGGTTACTTACAAGTTGGCCTTGAGGCTTCTGGGCCATGCCGCCTCACACTATTATGTATGTTACTCATAACAACCGTCTTTGGCGCGGTCCTCGGATCGGGCTGATGGGCCTGAAGACTAACATGGCGTATCGAGTGAGCCAACAAATAACTCAAGCTCGATGAGAATCTTTCGCAGCAATTCTCGATAGGATTGTTGGTTGAAGCTTCCATCCGACATTCTTCTCGGGGAAGATCGAAATATTAGAGTCATGCTGGATTCAAGTACTTTTTCTCACTCACTCAGGCTCTGATATATTTCATCATACATACGAAGATTGAAAGTGGACTATTCCTCAATTATCCCAAATCTTTAGTGGTGGTCTGTGCTGGCCGGATGACACGCTGACGCATTCATAACACGTTTTCAAGGAGATGTGCCATTTTTTCACGAATGGAGCCTCCCCAACACGGGTTGGAACTGCCGGCATCACATCACGGCTGTAAGTAAAACCTGAACGGACGGCGGACGCCAAGGCTGCACTCTTTGGTTGCGTGACATTCGTTCAGCGTGTCACGCCGGTATCCGTTCATTCGGCCTTGCGTACATGCACCATTAAGTCTTTGCTCATCCAATTAGCGAAGAATGTTGCACGCACCGGTGCATCCTGATTTTACCCCATCATCACTCTCAGGTTCGAAACCCAAAACTTGAAGTAGAGTCACCGTTGGCGTTGAAAAGATCTGTCAAGCTTTTGATCTATCCGAAGGAAATCCTTTTTTTGACGGCGCCGACTTCAGAAAAGACGCGCCCGCCACACAATTCGCGTGATTTTCGATCTATCAGGGCTCAATCTTCAAGGTACGACTTGGCCGTCTCCAAACTCCTCATGCGACGCGGCTCTTTCCTTAACCAAGTACCTGATTTCTCTGGGGAGTCCTGGATGCCAATGGCGATTTCCACGCGTATTTAGTCACGGTAATGTCCATTAACAAACGAAACTTAACTTATGACCGGTTCATCCCAGGCTGCGCAAACATATAATTTGGTCACATCCCGCCAAGGACATGTGCCTTGGGCTCTTTGTTGCGGCGCCTCGGTCACACCGTTCATTTACATAAACGCGCTAGACGCACCCCTCCGTGAGCTACTATTTTAGGCCAACGTTATTTCGTTGCACGCTTCGGCAACCAATCACGTACTCCAGCGCCTGGGATGTCAGCAATAACGCCCGTCAAAAATTTGGACAACACAACTTGTTTCACCTGCTAGGCGAACATCGGATCATCACTTGTTCAAGCAGCGACCTGCGAGTATGGAACTTGAGTAGTGGTGACTAGATAGGGTAAGACTAGCGAGACGGAGATGACGCACCGTAAGTAAGCCACGCCGTCGTCCACGGGAAGATGCGGACAGTGGGAATAAGAATATTGGATACCGAGAGAGGGAAGGTGTTCGCCCGGGACGTCGGTAAAGTGTTGTTTTGTGTAGGGTTGGTGGTGAGTGAATTTGCTAAAAGATAGAATAGCAAGGGTGTGGGACGCCGAGAATCATTCGAGACAGGACATTCCTACGTGAGCACAGTCTCAAACCCAAACTCATGGTTGATTCCATTGACTCTTAGCGGCATGCTCTAACCGCGAAGACGGTCTCGGTGGGTTTCAATCAGGACCTCAAATGCGATCATCCTGATTCTATGCAGCGCAAACTTGTTATTTTTTTTTCACGCTGAAAAGGTTGCGCGAAAGCAAATGAATCTGGTGGCAAGACGAGGTAATCTGACAGGTTAACGTAGTCCGTACACTCCTGTCATCATCAACTTGTAAACGTTTCAATTTCGGTGCAGGATCAAAAGAGTGCCAAACTGGTGGCCTACGTACTAGCGTATCCTAAACCCGGATCTTGTAAATAGCACTACCCTTGTATATAACTCCTAAGCTTACGGTGGTTGTTGCTGTGTTTTCACTGACGATATCGCGCAGCCTTATGCCAGAGTATCATAGCAACATACAATGTGTGGTACACTGGCATTCAGAGTCGATTACTAATCCGATAGTTGGTCCAAAGGTTCGGGTCCGGCAGAAATTGCACAGCTGTAATGATTAGATATCAGTCAGGGACTTAGGTCGGTAGAAAATCGATTAATCCTGGGCGTTAACAAGCAGGCACCAAGACGAGCCATAGATATCTAGATTGTCGCGTGGCCCAATCTGATAGATAGTTCGCGTAAAGATTAAAATCTTGACGTGATGGCATTCGGGTTGTTATGGACTTATCTGCGCAGTGTTAGTGGTGCAATTGAATGATTATGTAATTCATCCAATGAGCAAATGAGGTTACGAAAAAGGCCACCATGCCGCAATATATTAACCGAGACGGCGAGAACCCTGCACTGAAATTCTCCTGTACACAAACCGTCCGAAACTGTACTAATCGAGAACCTGTTCGGGCGATACCATGAACTGGCAACTAAATTCCTGGATGTGGACTGCACATATATATGCCTCAAAGAGCCATATGCATGTAAATATGCAAGAAACGTCACACACAATATTTTCTTATATGTAGCCCGTTATGAGCGCTGGATGATAATTGGACGATATGAATTAATCGCAAGCTTAATCAACCCGATATTAATTTCCTGTGATATTTGTACCTGTGTCTTCGCCGTGCGGGCCCGCCCCATGAAAGAGTGCCATTGTAGACTTCGCGACAGACTTATATGGTGTAAGTTTACATGATCAGTCACTAAGGTATTAGTAATTCCTGCTTTGGATCGAGTTCAGTTAAATCGGAGAACTCAGACATGCATGCGGAGGATTAGTACAGTATCGGGTTACATCTGGTGCCATCAGCTATGGGCTTAGTGTACCCGTGTTCCTGCCTCAGTAGGAGACGTACTCAGATGGAAAGGCCTTGTCTGAGTCTCCGGCAAGTTGTAACCAACAACCCATTCGAGTTGCGCAGGCTGGTCAAGATAAAGTAAAGTGCACTTGCCCCCCACGCTCAAGAGCTGTCAAGAAGGATAACCGAGTCATTCAGAGATGTCATCAGCGATTCGGCGGAAGGTCAAGCTTAAGCTTAAGCTCAAGGTTCAATGAAGTGCTCAGCGGCCATTGTTCGCGGGAGATTACATAGAGTCAGATACGTACATATATCTCCGCACTTGCCCGTTCTGTGCGCAGCTGCCTGGTAATAACCTCAAATTTCGAGGCAACAAGCCTTTTCATACTCACGATGATGACACACGTTACTTGCTTGCCCACTCGGCTGTCTGATCTAGGTACCGTGACCCCTCATCTTCTTCCCCACCGGGTTCCTTGTTGTGTTGGCCGATGGGTTGGGAGTGCTGCGGGTGAATTCGAACCAACAGGTATGGTGCTGGCGGATTCTAGTGGATTGCCCTGATGGAATTCCATGTCGTTGAGTAAAGGCTGCAGACGTAATTAGCTCTTTGTCGCGGATTTCATGAAAGAGAAGATACATGGACCGCCACGGCTATGTTTGGAAGTCGATTGGGAATGGCAATATCAACCAGTATTGATGGAGAACAGAATATCGATCCTTTTGTGTCCCTGCCATCTGCCCTTGTTGACATCATGGAGCACGAGTACCAACCGAAATGATCCTTTCTTGTTACAACACGGTTCCTGGTTAAGAAGGACGTCACCGCGATGGAGACCGTTCAAATGGAACTACCACAGTATATAGCTAGACACATCCCGACAACCAGCATAATAGTACCTGTGACAGTGCACTGTGAGTCACACCAACTTCTAACGCAGCCTACCTGAACTCAAAGGAGTCGTCCATTGACATAGTGCACGGTTATTTCGGGTATGTGTGTAATTCATTCACAACGTGTTTGACTGTCACCTAGAAGCAAGCAGGCCGCGCATGGCCATGGAGTGATCTAAATCTATAACAGGTACACAGGGTTCGAGTGGCAGGCAACAATTACGCTTTGCAGTTGACATGCACTTCATTTCCGGTAAGACTTGCCAATTGGTCCTGTCGTGCAACAGGAGGAAGATAAAATTTTGTTGGACCGGCGTAATACCGACCAGATGTGCCATGGGCATGAAGCGCATGATAAAAAGGCCTTGGGATAATGTCCCATTTTGTGATCAATTTCCCAACCCTCACAAAGGATAACAAGGGTTCTCCTGCTTCCCTACTGTTTTAACCTGTCGCCCAGAGTCTACAGATGGATAGTTTACGCGCGCACCGTAGAAAAAGACACAAGCGCACCATAAATTCATCCAGATTAACACGACAAAACCTGTTGTCCTCATGGTCAGTACAGGCCCCTGATCAACATTCAACAAGACTAGTCCGGCAGTCATATCTCGAGTGCCTCAATCGCCTCTACAGGTTAGAGCGTCGCATGCACGAGGAAATCCAGGAGGTTCACAGCATCATGAATCTCCTTGAAAACTACCGGTCAGATGCCACAATGGAGGATTCGGACGGATGTGATAGCACCATCGACTCCCAAGCTGGACTCGATAGCCTCGATACTATCCTACCGTCTGAATCTTCGCAAGACCCCTGCTTCGTGCTACAGCCTGCACCCCACGAAGCATCATTCGGGTAATGGAATCGTTAACAGAGGGTACAGAGGGTAAGTTGCTGTATATGCAGTTTTTCCTTTGAATGCTTACCATGTACAGGCTCATTGCCCCATGGCACCCGCAGTGCCGACTGTGTAACTCAGCCTCAGTACAGCATGTACTCTGCAGGCATTCCGACATTTTCTGACCCGCATGTCAGGGAATCGTCATCAGATGGTTTGGATGCTCGCCTCGGTAAATTCGTTATCGTTCGCAACATTTCATTGAAACACTTACAATGTATCCCTAGATTTATTGCTCCATGGCACGTCCAATTCCGTCTATGAGCCCGCTGCGAAACCCTTCCAGAGAATTTATTTCGAGCCGGGAAATGCCCTATTGAGTTCTGCAGCCAGACCTGATGCGGAACTGTTTGTCCCCGTTGGGCAGGTTAACCAAGCAAAGGTAAAATGCACCTGGGATAAATGCTCGGCACTCATCAACAAGGATAATCTCACTCGTCACGTCACAGAAGTGCACGAAGGGAGGATTAAGGCTGTTTGTCCAGGCTGCGGAAAGGAGTTCAAGTGTCCGTACCAGATGAATAAGCATAGGCCGCTTCGGACGGATGTGGAATGTCCTAGATTGTGATCTTGTATAAGAAAGTCGTTAGATATTTGATGAAGTGATTCCTTATGGACAAGATGGGACCTGGGGGTGTTGATGTCCACTTGCTGCAAGGCCACCATGGTGGAGGAAAGCACGCCCTTTGTTGAGAGCCGATGTATCCGAGGAGCATAAGGCAGAGAGAGACAGAGCCGAAGGGGAGAAGGAGAGTACGGCCGAAGAATGAACCACATCGAGTGCGAGCGTCTCCAAACGGAGAACATGGACGACGTGTCAACGTCGGCAATCTTTTTGTTCTTAAGTATATATGTTTTCATCAAAAGTCTTGCTGGCACACTCACCGTATAAGAAGAGCCAGCCAAAGTCGTAACATCTCAGTTTCATAAACGAATACTGAGATGTGAGTTGTTATCCCACTGTAACGTTTGAGTAGAGTACTGACGTACAAGTAGATTCGTACCTGTTTAGGTACAACATTTTGTTAATAGAGTTTCATAAACGAATACTGAGATATTCGTACCTGTTTAGCGTGTCGCGAAGCCTCCCGCTCGTATAGATTCTCCACAGGTTATGAGCCCTGTCTCGACCATGGACTCGTCTGCTCCCAGCGCCAACTCAAGCCTTTTTAACATCCCGAAGCTTGCCGAAGACGGCTCGAACTGGATAACCTATAAGGAACGGACATTAACAGCAATAGGTGCACGAGGACTCACGAGATATACCGATGGTCGAGCTATAGAGCCTACGCCTTTCATAGTGAGCTCTACGGGGGTCGTTACGAAGCCGGATGGTACAACGCCTACGCAAAAGGAGATTGATGAGCTCGATGCGAAGACTGACGAGTATCAACAAAAGAACTCACTCGTAAAACAGCAGATCTTCTGCACGATCACGGATCGGCTCCTGTTACGAGTCCAAAAGTTAGGATCTGCGTCCGAAATCTGGAAAGAAATATGTCAAATTCACGAAGGCAAAACAGAACTTGTCCAGATAGATCTGAGACGAAGGCTCCAGGAGACGAGGTGCGAAGAAGGAGGAGACGTGAAGGCGCATTTTGCTGAGCTTTTGCGCCTGCGGGAGTCCCTAGCTGGAATGGGGGTTACCGTCGTCGATGTGGACTTCCATGCTATAATTTTAGGGTCTCTGCCCGAATCCTACCGCCCGCTTCTCTCATCCATGAACGCAGCCGCTAAGATCACCAAAACACCTCTATCTCCCTATGAACTCATCACGATCATCACCGAGGAATACGAACATCGGTTACTCACCGACAGACGTCCCAACAAAAGGGGAACTGAACAGTGCGCTCTCTGTGAGAACAAACCCGGGGAGGAGCAGGAGCTCTCAGAGCTCAGCCCCACAGTCCAACCCCGACGCACTCTGCACGAACTGCGATCGCAAGGGACACTGGAAGAGTAGACTGTTGGCGGAAAGGAGGAGGCAAGGAGGGTCAGGGGCCGAATCAGCGACAGAGACAAGGAGGACGCACCCAGAAACACAGTGCCAACGCAGCCAAGGAGCCGGAGGTAAAAGATAATTACGCTTTCGCGACGTCAGATCTAGCAGTCATCGCTAAATCTATGGACGTACCTCCAGACCGCCGTGGAGCTATTGTAGACTCCGGCGCGACATCCCATTTCTGCCCCGATAGGGCAAAATTCGTGACCTTCGTCGATATCCCACCGCAGAAGGTCTACACTGCAAACGGCTCTACTGTCAATGCGACAGGACAGCGGAGATGTTAAGATAGACTTACCATTGGGCCTGAAGCGGACAACTGTCACGCTCAAGGACGTCCTCTATGCCCCCTCCATGGCTTTCACCCTAATATCCACCAACAGGATAGCGTCTGCCGGCTTGGCCGTACTGTTCGAAGGGGGAATGTGCAAGATACTATCTGCTGCCCCCGAACGAAGGACCATCGCGGAAATTCCCCAAGTCCAAGGACTTTACTCGGTGACATCTGAGCGTAAGCATAGAGCCAACGTTGCCGCGACAAAACCTACCATAAACCAACTCCATCGCTCCCTAGGACACGTGTCGCATGTGGCCCTTCTTGACTGCAGTCAAGAAGGGCCTAATCGAGGGCATTGACGTTGACCCAGTGCCCGCCGCCGAGTTCTGCAAGCCTGTGTCAAAGCTAAGTCAACGCGGCAGTCCTTCCCCAAGGAGACGAAGACGCGAGCACTTACCTATGGCGAACTTGTCCATACGGACCTATGGGGGCCGGCGCAGACTGACAAGCTTGGGAGGCTGCAGCTATTATATTAGTTTCACGGATGATTTTAGTCGCCAAACGAAGCTGCAGTTCCTGAAACACAAGAGCGAAGCACTCACGGCTTTCAAGGCCTACTGAGGCCTGGCTCGATCGTCAGACGCCCGGAACCCGGTTGCGGAAAGTGCGTTCAGATCGGGGAGGAGAATACCTGAGCACAGAGTTCGAAAATCACCTGCGTCAGCAAGGTATTGAGCGCCAACTAACGGTCCACGACTCACCTCAGCAGAACGGTGTCGCAGAACGCCTCAACCGCACCCTGGTCGAGCACGCGAGAGCGATGCTCCTGGGCAAGGATATGCCAAAATACCTGTGGGCCGAGGCCGTTAGTTACGCCACCTGGCTCAAGAACCGCCTACCGTCGAGAGCCATCCCAGGTAGCACGCCCTATGAGCTGGTGCGCAAGTCCAAACCGGACCTGTCTCAGGCCCATGAGTTTGGGGCCAAGGTTTTTGTCCATGTCCTGGAGGCGGGCAAGCTGGAGGCGAAGGCGGAAGAGGCAGTATTTGTGGGGGTGGATGCCGAAAGCAAAGGTTACCGGGTGTACTGGCCGGGTAAGCGGCGTGTCTCAGTGGAAAGGAACTGTTACCTTCCCACCGATGGAGGTAAGAGATGGTGTGCTGGACGAGGGGGAGTCTGCTGCAGTCAACGAACATAATAGCGGCAATATTAATAAAGACTCACCTAATAGCGTCCAGCCCATCTCCACCAAACCTACAACAGCAACCTCAACCATCTACCGGCCAGCAACCTCAACCATCTACCGGCCAGCAACCTCAGCCATCTACTCCTCAGCAACCTCAGCCATCTACTCCTCCTACTGAGGGAAACGAGGGCCAGACCACCTCCAGGATATTACGCGGCGCTAAACGAAGGCCAAAAGGCTGCCGTCAGCCATGGAAAACCTGTTAGAAGCATCAGAAATCGACCTCTTAGATGAAGAGGCGCACATTCACCTGGCATTGGCAGCGGTACAACCAGAGCCAACCCTCCAACAAGCCCTGAAAGGCCCGGACGCTGTGGAATGGCAAGAAGCCATAGATTACGAAATCAGTCAACTCGAGAAGCTAGGCACAGTGGGATATTGTAGACGCACCTCGAGGCTGTAAACATAATCCCATGTCATTACGTCCTGGCCACTGAAACGCGGCCCGGACGGCGAGAAACTGAAGCTTCGAGCGCGTCTAGTCGCCAATGGACAGCGCCAGAAGTATGGGGTCGATTTCTTCGAAACCTTCGCCCCCACAGCCAATATGAGCACTATACGTGCCGTGCTAACGATGGCGGCTCAGCGTGACTGGGAGATACATCAGGTGGATGTTAAAAGTGCAGTACCTATATGCGAGTCTGCAGGAGGAAATCTACATGAGAGCGCCCCCGGGATATCTGAAGGATGGTCAGGAAGGAAAGGTGCTAAAGTTGAAACGGAGCTTACCTGGACTCAAGCAGGCCGGGTACGAGTGGGCGCAAGAACTGGCTGGAGCGTTCAACGAAATGGGGTTCAGTCGATCGAAGGTAGACCAAGCTGTCTATTTTAAACACACCTTGAACGAACACGTCGTCATCACCGTGTCAGTCGATGACATGGCCGTCACCGCCAACCATATCTCCCATATCCATCGTTTCAAGTCCGAGCTGCGCACGCACTTCGAAATTACCGACCTAGGGGAACTGAGCTGGTTACTAGGCCTTAAGGTGATGAGAAACCGAATAGCACGCACCTTGACGCTATCCCAAAAGGCGTATGTCGACACGATCCTCGAACGGTTCCACCTGGAAGACGCAAAGATCCTCCACACGCCCATGGAACCAGGCACTGTCCTCTCCATGGAACAATCTCCCGCAACGCACGCCGAAGTCCAAGCTATGCGTGATGTGCCGTATCAACGCGCAATCGGATCATTGATGTATGCCGCTACGAGTACCCGGCCGGATATCGCCTTTGCAGTGGCAACCCTATCCCAATTCATGAGGAATCCAGGTAGACCTCATTGGGAGGCTACCAAACGCGCCCTGCGGTACCTGAAAGGCACCGCCGAATATGAACTCACAGCTGGGGTCCAGCGACGGAGGCATCGAGGCCTTTGTTGATGCCGATTGGGCATCCCAGCCTCATAGGCACTCCATGAGCGGGTACATTGTACTGCTCAATGGAGGCCCCGTTTCCTGGAGCGCGCGCAAACAGCCCATTATAGCGCTATCTACGGCAGAGGCTGAGTATATCGCCTTGACCAGCATGGCACGGGAGGTACTTTACCTACAACTCCTCATGCGCGAGCTCTACGACATCCACAACCTCCCTACGCCCATACTCTGCTGATAATCAAGCAGCTATAGCGTTAGTTTCAACAGGCAAGTTTCAATCACGTACCAAACATATTGACCTGCGCTACCACTTCGTGCGCGGACACGTGAAGGACGGCACGTTCAAGATCATCTACTGCCCAAGCGAAGACAACGTTGCGGACGCGTTCACCAAGCCCTTAGCACGTCCCAGACTCCAGAGGTTACGGACATTGATGCGTTTGGATAGCGCTCGAGGGGGAGTGTTGAGAGCCGATGTATCCGAGGAGCGTAAGGCCGAGAGAGACAGAGCCGAAGGGGAGAAGGAGAGTACGGCCGAAGAATGAACCACATCGAGTGCGAGCGTCTCCAAACGGAGAACATGGACGACGTGTCAACGTCGGCAATCTTTTCATTCTTAAGTATATATGTTTTCATCAAAAGTCTTGCTGGCACACTCACCGTA